GGACCGGCTGCGCTACGCCCTGGTGCCGCGCTACCGCGGCCTCTTCCACCACATCAGCAAGCTGGACGGCGGCGTGCGCTTCCTGGTGCAGCTGCGGGCCGACCTGCTCGAGGCGCAGGCCCTCAAGCTGGTGGAGGGGCCGCACGTCCGGGTAAGGCCCCGCCCGGGCCGCCCCGAGGCCCTGGCAGCGGGGACAGCCCGGGTTGCGCCCCCGCCTTGCTCCCAGGCCTGCGGGCCCTTGGCAGCCCCTATATAGTCCTCACTGCCCCAAACATTCCGCTTTCCCTGCCTGAAGCTGGGCACACTTCACTTTGAGTTACAGACTCCAACCTCCCTCCACTTCCTTCCCACGCTTTCTGAATCCTTAGCTCCCTCTAGTCATGTCTTGCTCCAGTCCTTACTGTGTAGTGTTTATTAGATAAGGCCATCGCCTCCTTTTAAGAGACTGTCATGCCTCATTCATGGTTAGTATGCTTCATAAAGACTTATTATTTTAGCCGAGAGGTTTCATCTATGTGGTATACTTGAACGAGTACCAAAATGAGCACCAGGGAGCCTTTCTGAAAACCTGGATTGTGTCAGCAAAAGTTAATTGTGCACCCATTACGTGTAAGCCATTTTCCTAAGAAGTCCTGTGAAATGCACAGAGATGACTAGAACTTGAAGTCTCCACTGTCTTAAGAGCCTGATGACTTCTGGAACTTGATTCTTACTGCATAGGAGTCGAGTGACTTAGGTAGAAGGTCACCTGTCTCGGAATGAAATTATCCACCCTTCCATCCATCCTTCAACATGCGGCTGTCAGTCCAGTGTTTATCTTGTGTGAGGCAGGCTCTAGGCTCCCAGGTCACTTGTCTGGGAGCTTCTGTTCTAGAATGAGAAGAGTGCTTTTCATACACTTGCTCATTTGGTCCTCTGCAAGCCATGGGGAACTGCTATAGGTGAGGTGATGAAAGCTTGTTGAGGTCCAGTGCAGTGCCCGGAGCACAGAGCTAGTGAGAGAGCCACAACTCAAGCCAGGCTCCATGTCTCTACAGTTGTGTACTTCATCACTACCCAGTGACCCTCGGAGTTGACCATTTAACTGGAGCTAAAATGGATTTGTCTTAGAATTTGCCTTTTTCTCTAAAGTGGAGGGCAGATAAAACCCAGTTTATTTAGTTTCTCTAGTTGTGACTGTGTATTTACTCTGAGACTATGCAAGCTCCTGTCTTACCAGCAATCCCATTCCCCATCTTTCTCTAAAACCACAGTCAGTCTTTACTCCCTTGTTGAAAAGTCATCAAGCCACACATGCCAGAAGGATCACATTTAGTGTCTTTCATTTGGTATTTATGGTGCACACCAAACCATCCTGGACAACGTTTCCTCTTTACTCGCCATTACTCTCCTCCATAGACTCACTCACCTCTTCAGCCAAGCTGACTCTTGGATGAAAAGTTCCTAAACCCATGTTCCCTGTGTTATTCCTGCTTGGGAGTCCTGGTAGCATAGGAGCTGCCTCCATCCTTAGGTCATTCACTCAACTTTTCCAGCCACTCCAGCTCAAAGTGGTCTTACCCACTTTTGAGCTTGATGGCATGCATTGTTATCTGCACCCCTTGCTTGGATTTTATACATAAGCCACAGAATTTAGTGTTTGAAATGTATTCTTTTCCCTACCCCCAACTAAATGATCAGCTCCTTGAAAACTGGGAAGCTTGTCTTAAATTTCTTGAAGCATTAAGATAGACTCCTGGGTACCCTGCTCTAAGACAAAGTCAGCACACTAATCATTCCCATTTGTCTTGATGTCAAAGCGCTCCACTCACAGTTTTGAGCCTAGAAGGAAGCCCAGAGGGCTTGGGAGGTTTCTGCACAGCTGAGAGAGACATCAGACATTCAGACTGCCCTTGGTAGATTTCAGTGTGCATTGGCCCTGGGTGGTTTCTAATACCTCTGACAGTTCTAAATCTCTGATTCTCTGACACTACTGAATGCATCTCCTTGCTCTTGCCCACACAAGAAAACAGTTATCATGCAGTGGAGAAGGAACATTGTGGCAGCTGAAAGCTGTGACATTGAGACTTGACTTGGAAGAGAAGAGCTTGCCCCAGGGAAGTCCAGAGCTACCAGCAACACCAGGTCCTCAGATGTTCAGGGTTCCTTTGTTTTTTTAACCAAGTTGTCCACACATGGGAGGGAAGAAAACATATACCAGGCAAAAAGCCACATGCAATAAAGATATATTTTGAACAAAGGGTAAATAATGATAGCTTGACCTTTGCTTCTGCACATGGTCTGGACACATCAGGTTCAGAAGCCTTTTCTAGTTTCTATCATGCCTCCGTTTACCTAAAAATCCTATTCTTTTATCTAGTATGTCTGTTAGTAGCCAAAACTGGTGATTCCCTTCTCCTTTGCTCTTCATAGTTACATAAAATTTCTAAAAATCCCTATCATTGAAATCATTCAGAGAGTAGTTTTTTTTAATCCATAAAAATTGTCACTGGGATCTGATATTGTAATCTATCACCAGAGTCAATGTCCATCGTGATTCCCTTCTAGATCATTCTGGATTTTGTATCCAAGTTAAAGAGGTGATGCAGCTAGAACTTTTTACTTTCAGGAATTCAGTATTAGAAACCACCAGAAGTTTGGCATGTGAAGCTTTAGGGCAGGAGTCCCAGACCCTCAGGGGCCTGTGATGCCGTGACCCTGGGGGAATGGGGAGCTCCTCTGCAGTTGTCCCAGATGTCAGCACCACTTACTGTGTGCACACAACAGACACCCTGTCACACAGGCATGCTACTTGCCTGGCCCCTGCTGACCTTAGGACTTGCTAGGTAAAGTCAAGTGAACATGCACTGGTTTACATGAGGTGCTGTGGGCTCGGTCCTGAGCATTTACCCTGGAGTGGATTCACTCCATTGCATACCTGGCATGGGTTCTTGTTTACTGGAGCCCGTAAGGTGCAAAGATGCTTTAAAATAACCAGCAATGTGAGGCCAAACAGGATGCTGATTCTCAGTGCCTTTGACCAGACAGTGAGCATAGTGGAAGAAGCACTGGGTGGGGAGACAAGGCAGGTTCCCATTCCTGTCTTTGCCATCCACTGGTTAGAGGCATGATTTCAGGTGACTTTAGCAAGTCACTTAACTCCCTGGGCCCGTTGGTTCTGCACTGAGGTGAGAAATTCAGCTGATGGTATGTATGCTCAAGGTCAACCAGCTTCTCTTCTAAGAAATGCCCTGAGGGATATGGAGCTTTGCTAAAAATCTGTTTTACAAGTGGGGGTAGGTTTGTCAAGACCTTGGCTCTGACCAAGGGTTGTGATTTTTGGAAATGTGGGAAAAATCCAGAAGACTGACACTTCCATTTCAAGTATTGCCAGGCATGAGGCCAGGTGGGTCTGTGTCTTTCCTTGGAGAGTGTAAGTCAGACAGGTTTCTTTTCTCTTCTATGGGGATCTTAATCCTTTTTGATAAGTTCAGAGTCAGGTTCACATCTCTGCTGGGAGGATACAAGGGCTACGTTGAAGGAAGTGTTTACAGCCTGGCAAAGGTCAAATATGTGTTGTTTTTTTTGACATAGCTAAACGGATGCCTCCTGAACACAATGCCCTGTGAATTTGTAGGTGTGCACCCAGCTCTGCTTATGGGGTGTGAGGGTGTGTGTGGAACATGGGGAGGGGAGAGGGATATGTGGGGGGAGGGGGGTATGTGGTTCTGTGTGTGTTGGTTTATAGGCTTTTTGTTTTTTCCCCAGAGACATTCGCAAAGGCCCATTTGGGTTGAAGAGTTAGGTTTCTTAGATAAAATCCCCAATGAAACTGAACTGAAGCCCATTATAGCAGGTCTGAGTGCAGTTCAGCGATCTGTGGGCACTAGGGGGAAACTGGCATTTAGAAAATGAAAGGGTTTCTTGATGGGTGATTTAAACATAGAAATTATGGCGAAATGAGAGGTGTGCAAGCCTGAACAGAAGCATGGGTGGAACGTAAAAGAAGGGACTGAACTTGTGTCAGACACGGTCAGCATCCTCACCATTGCAGCGCCCAACCCGGGTAGACTCTGTCATACAACCTTGTTTGGTGGCTTATCTTGCTTTTAAGTTAGTCTAGTGGTTCTTGTTGATTCTACTAAATTCTGTGCTTAGCTAGACTGAAAAAGAACTTATTTGTAGATAGGAAAGTGGGCCCCAGCCGCCTGGGGGAGGCAGCAACTTGCATGAGTTGGAATTGTACCTAAAATGTCGTTAACTTCAGCATGATGACACTTTCCTATAGCTTTCAGCTCCCTTCCCCAGGGCTTCCAAGCAATGAAAAGTAACTCTTCTTCACATACCAAAGAATGAGGAGGTCTTGAGAGCCAACAGTTTCAGAGGAGTGTGGAGACAGCTTTTTCTCTGCTGAAATAGAGTTGGCTGGCCTTCTGAACGGTGTCATCCGATAACTAGAATTGGCAGTACAGAGAAACTGAGACCTAGCACTGACTTTGGCATCGCCACAGTATTCCCAGCAGTTGTGTTTCTGAGCCTTGGATTGTTGCTAAATGATTGCAGGATTAATGAGCAGAAAGCATAAGTGAGTTCTTTCCCTCCTGCTCCCTGTGAGCCAGTATCCTTGCTGCATGGGGTGGCTCATTCCAGCCTGAACAGCTTCTTGTCGTGTCAGAGCTGAGCAGTGGAGACTTGTGACCTTTAACCCAGATTCCCAGTTCTTGTGACCAGTGTCACATTTTATAGCTGTCAATAGCCCAAAATAGAATAAAGAGACTTTTAGACGGGGAGCTTTCATCAGCCAAATCTTTTCTTTAATAATTAATACTGAATTAATACTGAAACTAGATAGTTCCAGCTTTTTCTATTATGAATGTAATAGGGATGCCAGTACATCTTACATGTACCTGGACTAATCCATTTCTAACCATTTTGTACAGAGGTCCCAACCTGGGGTCCAAGAACCCCTGGGGATGAGTCCATAGATATATTTCAAAGGGTCTGTGAACCCCAGGAAATTGTATGAAAATTTTAATTAATGTGTTTGCATTTTTCTGGGGAGAAGGTCCCTGGTTTTTAGCACACACTCAAGAGAATGTGAAGACCCCAGGAAGATTAAGAACCATTGTAGTCAAATAGCAAATGACACCTCATAGCCTCCCTTCCTGCTACTTCCTAATCCCCACCCCAGCGTTTCTTCTCTTTTTCATTTGATATCAATCTATTAGCCATCTTCCACATGGAAGGCCCCACTAGATGCTTTGGGAACTAGAGGAATTAATTAGAAATGACCTATGCCCTTACAGAGCTTAGAGCCAAGCAAAGGAGGCTAGATTATGGAATCAATCGAGAGTTAAAAGGAATTGCAAAGGTAATCCAGTCCAGCTGCCTATCAGATGCTTAAATCCTTTTTTTAAAAATCCTCAACCGAGGATATGTTTTTTTTTTATTTTTGTAGAGAGTGGAAGAGAGAGAGAGAGAGACATCTATGTGAGAGAGAAACGTTGATCTGTTGCCTCCTGTGCATGCCCCAAACAGGGACTGAACCTTCAACCTAGGTATGTGCCCTGACTGGGAATCGAACTCACAACCTTTTAGTGTATGGGATGATACTCCAACCAACTGAGCCTCTGGGCCAGGGCACTTAAATCCTTTTCAAAACAGCTCCACCAAGTAGTTGTCGACCCTGTGCTTGGTCACTGTCATGGGGAGATTCACACACTCCTAGGATGACATCTGTGGACAGCCCTAGGTATTCAAAAGCTCTTTAAGTTCAGTCTGAGTCTGACTCTGTCTCTCTCAGTCAGTCCTAGATTTAGCCCCTTTCCTCGCCACTCTGGCTATGAGAAAGCTTACTGCTGCTACATGTTCAGTGTGGTCACAGCAGGCTAAACTGAGAAGGGTCTGCTCCTGTCCCTTTCTTACGCACCGCTTGTTCTGTTCTTGCTTGGAAGGTTTCAGTCCAAATTATTTTTGATGGTAAAGTTGACTCAGACTCTTCAGAAATAGATATAAGTAAGTGAAGTGAAATTAGACTAATTTCATCACATCTGAATGCATGGATTGCCAGATACAATATTATTTTATGTGCTATTAAGGGAGGAAAAAAAAATGCTACCTGTTAAATTGTGACCCACTGTCATTTGAAAGATGCATCCTGACCTCAAAGATGTTAAAATATGAAAATGCTCACCTTAGAGTTGATGAACTATGGTACCTGGGCTCAGTACCTGCTTCTCCTAGGAAACGAGGAATGATGTTTTGGCTGAACTATCAAAAACCGTTCCTGGGGGCATGGGGGATTTGAGCTCTGTGCTGCCTGAGTTAGCACTTCCTTTATGGAACCATTCATTGTTCTAATAACTATGTTTTTAGTTGTGTTCATTTCAGTGAATGAATTGGGACATATTATTTGATTTGGGAAACTTAATTCAAGTTGAACACTCTCATTCAGATATCTTACAGATTGAAGTAGTAGAGTCTAAAGGAAGCTCTGAATTCTGTGTAACTTGGCTGAGGTAAGAGTTCAGTCGCATTGTCTCAGGAAAGGCTGTCTAGAGAAGCATCTTGCACAGTCTCCTTTGATCTCATATTTTCGTGTTTTAACTCACTGGGCTGGTGACGATGCAGAAGAGCTGACACTTTCTCTTCTTTCCAGGAGATGAATGGAGTGCTGAAAAGCATGCTCACAGAGTGGTTTTCTTCAGGGTTCCTAAACCTAGAGCGGGTGACCTGGCATTCACCATGTGAAGTACTTCAGAAAATCAGTGAGTAAGTATTCAGGTTTTCATATTTCTTATATCTTAGCTGAAAGCCAGTCTCCATTCACATGCATGTTTTGTCCCAAGCCTGATAAGACCCAAACACAACATTCACAAATGTCGTGGCCGTCCCAGCAGGTGATGTCGAGATCACGGAGGAGGGAAGTGCACACATAGAAACTGGTGATCCTCCCAGCAAACCTTCATGCGAGGTCTCATTTATATTCCCATATTTAAAGCACATGGCCCCACTTTTTCCCAAGACCTCATTATCAGAGCTGTATGAATCCACTGGACCAAGTGTTTGCATTAGTAATCCAAACAGCATCTATCTCATCATTAAAATTTCTCCCTTGGATAAAATCTCTAAATTAACTATCATGCCTAATTCCAGCATGCCCAAGACACAGTCAAATTCAGGCTAGCACATCACAGTTCTCACAAAAGGGGAGAGCTCTTCCCGCCTCAGGATCTTCACACTCCTTGCTGTCTTACGTAATCCGAGGTTGGGGAAATGTACTGTCTGAAGTGTAACTGACTGGAGGGGCTGCTGCCATTGCACGTGCTGAAAACAAAACAGTGGTCGCCTGAGGTTGCCAGCCAGATGGAACCAAGGAATGGTGTTTGTAACATTGACTTCAAACTGCAGAGATTCAAAGGAAATAAAAGACATAGAATGTTCAATGACTAAGCATCTGGTTAGTTTCTGTGTTACAATCTGCTGCACAACTACTTCCCAAGGGCCTCGCAAACTAGTCTTAGGACCGGGTATTAAAAATTAGAGCATAATTTTGTGTGTAAAATGGTCGTTAATTGTAGTTCCTTTTAGTCACTGCTGTTTCACATTAAAATGATTTTCTTTAAATTTTCCTGAAGAGGCAATTTAAGCTGTATTTAAGGGATTTATTTGACTTTAGTGAATAATATAAATCAGAATCAGCAAAGGTTATTTAACTTGTAAATTGAACATTTGTCTTACTTACCTCGTTACAATCTTCTGTCAGGTCTGAGGCTGTGCACCCTGTAAAGAATTGGATGGACATGAAACAACGTGTCGGACCATATAGAAGATGTTACTTCTTTTCTCACTGTTCCACCCCCGGGGAGCCCCTGGTGGTTTTGCATGTGGCACTGACAAGTGACATCTCCAGCAACATTCAGGTACCTGCGGATGGGCAGTTCAGGACAAGGCAGGTGTCCTGCAGAGCCTCTTAAGGTTTTTAAACTTGGTTTTATGCCTTTTTTTCAAAAGCTTAGGCTTTTGTGGATTTTTTAATTGGCTACATAAAGCCTCTAATTTTGTAGCTACAGAATGTAGATGTGTAGTATGTACATGGCTTTGAAATGAGGAGAGTATTCATCGGGGTCTACTGACTTTGAGCTGAGAAAGGGGGACGTCTATGACGGAACATCTTTGTGAGGTAGAAAGAGCTGCGAGGGCAGAAGAGAAGGAAGCATGCATGGTTCAGCTTTTCAGCATTTGTTAAGTGCCTCTGGGTAGTTTTAAACAACATGTGATTGAAAAAGAGACTCAGTGCTGTGTCCCTGATACAGGCCCAGAGCTCTGCCCTGTGTGAGTGGAGGTGTAGGAGGGAGGCCTGGCACAGCCCAGGAGGTGTCACTGCCTCTGCTTTACCATCTACCCCACTTTCCTTATGACAGCAGTTCTGACCCTTTCAGGAGTCACAGAAAAGACCCTTTGAGCATCTTAAGGAGATGAAAGCCAAGGATGTTTTCCCCAGGGGCATATGTGCAGAACGCACATTCCGTCCACCATTTCAGAAAGTTTATGGACTCTCAGACCTCATCATGGGTTCTGGGCGAGCCACCCCAACCTCAGGAATCAAATGTAGCTGGCATTTCATCAACTTGGGCTTTCTCATTGTTGGAGGGAGTGTCAAGGTTAGACCAGGCAGCTTAAAGAGTAGCCTAAATGTGTTCAGAAGCAAGCTGGTGGGCCTTTATCAAAGCCAACTGAAAGGTAACCACTCACTATTCCACTATTCCACTGTTGTCAAGTGACCCACAGAGTATTAAGGTTTTGAAAACCCCGCAGTCAAAACTTAGAGCTAATAAAAGCAGACTTGGCAAGTCTTAGCTCAGATTGCTTCGTGGCTGTGTTTTCACTGAGGAAAAACAAGAATGGGGCACAAAATCAAAAAGGTACATAGAAAAGCCAGGAAAAGGTAAGTTTCCTAAAAGAAAAATTATGTAGGACTCGCTGGTCTCTTGAGAAATCAAAAACATTGTAGTTCAGAGCAGAGAAAAGGAGTTGAAGTAAATAAAGTGGGGAGCAAGCAGGCCTTTACAGAGAGAGGAGCCATGTGGCCTACACAGAGGGTCGAGAGTTCTCTCTGGGAGTTGAAGGGGCGTAGATCAGTCACGTTTCAGTTTGCACAAAGGCCTGAAAAAGACAAAAAGGATATAAATTGCTCTTCAACAAAGTTTGCATGAGATTTCCAAAGAGAGATGACACAACACTGAGCGCGCACCTCAGGGAAGTTGTGAGTTGCCACCTTCAGGGAGATTTCAGACCAGGCCAACCAGTGTTCAGTCTTCATAGCCTGGTCCTTGAATGGAGGGGATGCAGGTCTCTTTCCTCTCGCACCCTGTGAGGATTTTCTTATGGGTGAGATGCAGGGTGTGAGAGCATCCAGGCCCATTCACCACCGTCCTTTGTGTTTTGCAGTCCATAGTGAAGGAGGGTCCTCCCTCGGAAACGGAGGAGAAGAACAGGATCGCCGCAGCCATGTTTTATTCCATCAGCCTGACCCAGCAAGGCCTGCAGGGCGTGGAGCTGGGGACCTTCCTCATAAAGCGCGTGGTGAAGGAGCTTCAGGTGAGCGCGGCACCCGCCGGGGTGGTGTGGCTTGGAGACCCCCTCTTACCCTGCTGCGGTGCAGTTGGTAGCCAGGTCTCGGGACTGGTGATGGGCAGGTGATGAAGATCGAGCTGGGAGGAGGGAGGAGGGGTTAGAAAAGGGCTCCAGGCACTTCCCAGGAGCCCTGAGACCACTCAAGAGAGGAGCAGAAGGGTCAGGAAACTAGCCTCTCCCACTGGCCACAAATGCACATGTGTTCTGCGGACATCAGTGTTCTGATTTGCATATGTTGTCGCTGCATAATCTTGAGGAGGGCCACCTTCCATTCTCACCTGTCCCAGTTTGGATGATACATTTTATGTCATTCTAGCCACACCTGACCGTCCCCCCACCCCCTCACCCGTACTCTCCAGGCTTCTGGCCCCTGACGTTTCATCAGCCTGGGCTTTCTCATTGTTTGAGGGAGTGTCAAGGTTAGACCAGGAAGCTTAAGAAAGACTGGATTTATAAAATACATTTGTAACTTCCTTCTCTTTAACCATCCTATAGCATCGGTGTACAGGTTCACTCCAGGTCCAGGCTTTTTAAAACTATCTCATAAGAGGCTAGGGTAAACTATAATGAGTAGAATCTAATTATTAGTAAAATAATTAGATTGTTAATAATTGCCTCTGAGAGTGGTGTTCTCTGCTTTGGGTAGTTTCAACACAGCTGTAGCTAAAGCTTTTCCTTAGAGAGTGACGGAGTGGAATTAAAATATTTATGTGCTTTGTATTAAATTCACAATCAATTTTAAATCTGAGGACTTGGGACTCAGGGGCGTATCAGCTTCATTAGAATCACTCTCTGCCACCTTCCCCAGAGGTGGCAGGAAGCCACATCTAATTAATATCAGTCTCTTCCTATTTCCTCCTTCTCTGCTGAAGGTGTAAATGACTGGGGCAGGGAGAGGGTGGCTCTGCTGAGGGTAAGACAGGGGAGCAGAACCCGGGGTTCGGGGCACTCACCCACAGGCTCTGTTTGTCAGTCAGTCAGAGTTAGCCCTTTGGCCCAGGAGTCATCCTGACAGTTGGCTGCTCACCCACCACTTGGCTCCGTGCCAGAAAGTCATCAGAGGCCATCTCGAGGAAGCGTAGTCCTCCTGCACAGTGGCAAACACTAAGACAACACGGTGCAGGAACATCGTCAGGAAAGCAATGGTGTAGGTTCGTCTTTTGACATTATCCTGTTGTTAAAATTGTGTGCATTTTAATGAGAATGAGGAAATGGCCATGCTCTAAGTTCACAAGGCATGATATAAATAAAAGTCTCACCTGTGTAAAGATTGACCAGAGAAAGGCCAGAAGGAGTTACACTATCAAACTGTTGAGAGTGGTTATCTCAGAGAGGCGGAGTGTTAAGGTTTTCTTTGCTTCTGTCATAAATCTTTTAAAATTTTTTCTATAGTGAGCACATATATTACATTTATAAACCAAAAGTACTGGATTTTTAAAATTGAGCATTGAGATCTGTGTGATTTGAATAATAATGATTGATCTTTATCAGCCGATGTGGAGAAAGACCCATTATCTCCCCTTCTATCCCATCCTCTGCACCCACTGTGGTGTAGCTGGGCAATCAGTTACTTACTCAACAAACAGTCATTGGGTACTTGTGTGCCAAGCACCAAACCAGATTGTGTGGCTACAGAGATGTCCATGGGAGGAGAATGGTGTGCCAGAAAGACAAGATCTATAGTCAGAAGACTGCATACCAAGTCCTACTTCGCAGCAGCCCAGCCTTGATTTCCAGCAAGTCCCCCAACTTGCCACCATGATCAGTGGTACAGATGGAGACAGGCTTGCCTTGGGGCTCAGGATGCCTCCAGGACCTGGCACACATCAGATTCTTAATAAATGTTCCTTGAAAGAAGAAAATTAATGCATATCAAATATCACTTTGTAAGCTACACAGCATACACAGGTTAATGATACGTAAATGATAAATGGACAGGTGTTTCTGAATCAGTGACACCTGCTGAATTCTCTGTGTGTGTGTGTTTTCTCCACCTTCCTTCCCCCACCCCACCATGCCTTACAGAAAGAGTTTCCTCACCTTGGGACATTTTCAAGTCTGTCTCCTATACCTGGCTTCACTAAATGGCTCCTGGGGCTTCTGAACTCACAAGCAAAGGATCATGGGAGGAATGAATTATTTACAGATTCTGAGTGTAAAGAAATCTCTGAGATCACAGGGGGCCCCATTAATGAGACCCTCAAGGTCTTTCTCAGCAGCAACGAATGGGTGAAGTCTGAAAAGCTGGTCAAGGCGCTCCAGGCCCCCCTAATGAGGCTCTGTGCCTGGTACCTGTATGGAGAGAAGCACCGAGGCTACGCCCTAAACCCTGTGGCAAACTTCCACCTGCAGAACGGGGCTGTGATGTGGCGCATCAACTGGATGGCCGACCTCAGCCTCAAGGGCGTCACTGGCTCGTGCAGCCTGATGGTCAACTACCGGTACTACCTAGAGGAAACGGCCACCAACAGCACCACCTACCTCAGCTCAAAGAACATCAAAGCTTCTGAGCAGGTCCTCAACCTGGTGGCCCAGTTCCAGAAGAACAGCAAACTGTAAACCTTTCCTGAATGGGTTGGAGAGTGATGTATCTAAAGGGAACTCTCTTAGTAAAGCAAAGTCACAAAGTCACAGTGTTCTCTTGCCCTCAGCAGGGTTATACTGGCAGGCTGGGCCCTAACTTCTGTGGTGCAAGGAAAGGTGCAGGCCCTGACTGTGTGACAGTGGCAGGTACAGGTGGACACAGACTGGGGGGGATGCAGTGCTCTCCAAAAGATTCTCTTGTTGCCTTTGGCCTGGCTCCCTGCCTAGGGTTGGTGCTATGGCACCTGTGTCCTCAGGAAGCTTTAGAGCCCTTGCTGGCTGTCATCCCAGGTAGATTAGTCAGCCTCACCAGGACTCGGGCAGGCGGTCCAGGCGAGAACAGATTTTTCTTCAAGCTTGAACATAATTTGGCCATGGTGACTTCAGCCATTGCTCTCCACTCATTGCAAAGGGATAGAGGGCTATGCTACATTTTACTAATTATATTTTGGAGATCACAAATGTATGGGAAGGTTCATGACTTTGTTGTTGCTTAGGGCTTAAATTCAGTTATGGACTTTTAAATGTATAGTGATTCAAGTTCATAATGAACTTAATAGTAAAGAACAAGTTTGTTCTGTGAGGCATTAAACACATGGTTATTTAAGGTCGCGTGGTGGTTGTCTTTGAGATCTGAGACCTCACAAGCTGGAATCAGCTCTGAAGTGTCAGCTGCGCCTCTGGTCCCCAGCCAGCCTGTTGGCATCCGTGGGCGCTCCATGAAGAAGGCCTGGAGTGTGTGGCCTCCATCAGAGATGAAGGGAGAAGTAATACTATGGTTATGGGAAGAAAGCGGGCAGGTGTGTGTCTCTGTGTGTCTGTGTCCGCAGTGTTTGCACAGTTCTCAGGTCGCCTTGCCTTCCTTTTCATTTTCCACACTCGTCCCCTGATCCTTCTCTGTCATCTTCTGTGACTTGTTGCCTGATGACAGTCAGCATGGCAGTAGTCACTGCTAGAACTTGTGCTTTTCTGAATCCTGGTCAAAGCTGTCTCATGTTTCTGTGCATTGCTTTGAGCTAATTCTGAAAGCCCGTGTGTTCAAGAGTTACTTGCAGGACCCTGGCCAGCAGTCCTTTTATCCTGTTGGGCCCCCTTTTAAAGACAGAATTCCTCATGGTGGTGATGGGGCCTGCCAATGTCCCAGGCCCTTTGGGTATCTATAACCACTACTGTGCAGAGCTTGCACCTGTGTCAGTCACCTCCCCAGGCTCCAAGATCAACTGCTTCTCTGTGTCAGGCATGCCATAGAGAAGGTGAGTGGATATGGATAGTGCTGTGGTCTGAATGTTTGTGTGTGTGTGTCTCTC